GCTCTCTATCTCTCTCTCTTTTAAATGTTTGTTTGTTTGTTTGTTTGTTTTGAGAGAGCGAGCGAGCGAGAGAGCACAAGGGGGAAGAGGCAGAGACAGAGAGAGGGAGACAGAGAGAATCCCAAGCAGGCTCTGCACCATAAGCAGAGAACCCAATGAGGGGCTTGAATTCACGAACCACAAGATTGTGAGCTGAAATCAAGAGTCGATGCTTAACCAACTAAGCCACCCAGGCACCCCACCTAAGTGCTCTCTTGACCCCACCACAGAGCTTTTACCCATGAGCACAGCCAAAGAACATGTCATGGAATCAGGAGAATTTGGATGAGTGGAGTATCTCAAAATCAAGAACTGGTCATACAATAAGATTTCACAACTTCCACCCCCTTGTCCAGAATGGTGCCCTTTGCTTCCACATTTCTTTACCAAGGGGCCCCATTTGTCATTCTGCATGTTAGACTCAAAGGAAAGAGGCTGTTCTAAGATGCAGTCACCACCAGAGACAACTAATGGAAAACTTCCCAAGAAGAGAGAAAGGAGCCTGCAACATTGGACACCTGCCATGCAGGAGAGGCTTGGGAATGCAAATGGCAGACACAGGTAGATAATTCCACCAGATTGGTGGGCATGGCATGCCCAGCAAAGGGTCATATCTAAAGTCAGGACTCCCGCCTTCTGGCCTCAGTGCTAATGGTAATGTCTTCCTCTTTTGGGCCTCAGTTTCCCTATCGCCAAATTAAATGATTATCCTTGATGACCTCTGGGATTCTCCAAGCTCTGAGGTTCCAGTCTTCAATGGGGTTCTGGGTTGAGGGACAGGCTTCAGAAAAGGTTAAAGGGCTTTAGCAAGTAAGAACAGGCTTGACTCTCAAAACCTGAGCAACTGCTCAGAGTGGAGCACGAGTGAGAAAGGAAGAATCATTTAACAGATTACATCTTAGCATTGCTCATGTCGAAAAGTGGCCTCGTAGGCAGCTGTGTGATCTTGGACAAATCTCTTCTCCACTGTGACCCTCAAGTCTCCAGGCATAATCTGAGTAGTGGTCTACCATCAGCACCCAGCAGTGGTTCGGACCCAGTGGCATCCTAGTCCATCTGGGGCCCTGACCATCCCAAACACCAGGGTGACAGATGGAGAAAGAAGCATTCTCTTAGGAGTTGTATGAGAATCTCTCTTGTAGGGGAAGGGTGACCCTGTTTTTTGTGGGGAAGATGTCCTGATGAGATCAGTGGGACCCTCCAGGGCCTGGCTATCTGCTTCTGAGAAAGAAGGAAGGGTCTCCTCCTGAGACAGAAAAGAGAATGTGCAATTCCTACAGCGAGGGAAGTCATAACAGGCTCTGCAGGGAGATAGTTGGGGTGAGGAAAAGAGTGAGGGCAGGTACGAAGGTTCACCGCTATAGGATGTGGCCACTCTCTTTGTCCACTCAGCTTACATCTCCATATTTGGTAATGTTTGGGAAATCAGGAAGTGCTCAATGATGTTGAGTATCTTCTGGAAGCAAGTAAGTAGACTGAGTTTTCAATCTGAGGTTAAATAGGCAAAACAGACAGAAAAGGCAATAAAAGCCAGTAGTACAATGTGAACCTTTGAGAAAGACCTTTGTAGGATGAAGGCGTGCTCACTTTATTTTTTTAAATATTTTTTTAAGATTATTTACGTAAGTTGTCTCTACATCCAACGTAGGGCTCAAACTCAACCCTGAGATCAAGAGCCCCATGCTCTTGCACATGAGCCAGCCATGCTCCCCAAGACATGCTTACTTCAGAAGCCGCACTCCACGGTCAAGTGCACCCAACACAGTTGAGTTGAGGTTGATGACGTGATATAAGTAATGTTGCATTTTTAGCTCTTTAATTAAACATTTATGATTTTGAAGTTTTGTTGTTGTTGTTGAACTTTAGAATATACTTCCTCTCATCCATTTTTGTGGGTTCTACCTGTGCTTGTAATGCTCATTTAGTATAGTGCTTCAGTAGAAGTGACTCTAAGGCTGTGGGTTTGTAGGATATTTTGCGTACATCTTAAAGAGGGCTCAGAATTTAAGTGAAAGTGGGGATATTCAAGAAAAATTCCCTGGGAATAGAAAGTTAAGTGTTTGTTATATCAGTTCCCAGGGGCTACACTAGTAATTGCCTGTCCTGGGTGGTGGCTGCTTGTCTGACAACACTTACCTCCCAGGTTCTGGGAGGAACATGGAGGATGGAACCTGTTTCCACAGCTCCCAGGACTAAGGCCTCCGTGAGATGAAGAGGTCAGGGCTGGGAGAGAGGTCATGGCACAGGTTCTCACAAGGATGCCTTGGGGAAGGGGCTCAGTATTCACTGAGCACTTTCTCTGGCTCTGGAATTTTATACACACCATATCTTTCAGTCCTCAACTAGACTCTTCAATGTGGACACTCCTACTCTCATTTAACAGATGAGAGTATTGAGGCTCACAGTCATGAAATAGCTCTTCTAAGATCAACAGCTGGGGCAGAGCCAGAATTGGAATCCCAGTCTGTCTGATTCTAATGATAGTGTGCTTTTTGCTTACATTATACTGCTAGAAAAGGAAAAATGAAAGGAAGAAAGGGAAGGGAAATAAACAAAACATGGAGGGAAAAGTTGTTCACCTCCTTACCCCCTCACTTGAGAAGAGGGGCATCAACAAGCTCGAGAGAGAGGTAGCTGAACCTCCACCCAGTCCTTACTGCCTCCCACACCCTCGCAGATGTGTCATGGAGAAATGCTTCTCTGCATTCTCCGGAGAAGAACAAAGTTGGGATCACCAACTATCAAAATGGTGGTCCCTCTGGGCCTCATCTCCACAGCGGGGTCACCCCCCTTCTAACATAGTCAGCAGAGGAGCAGCAGAAGGGTCTGAATCACTTTAAGAACCATTATTAGCCACAATGGGGGCTATAATAATCAATGCTAATTTGCACACTGCTGCTTCCCAGAGGCCCCTGATTGAGAGGAGAAGTGTGATTTCTTGGGCTGGAGTTATTAACACACGCCACATCTAGGCCAAGGGAAGGGCTCAGACAGCCTGAAAGGTGGGGGGCTTACAATTTCCACTGTCTCTTCACCTCTCCCCAGCCTATGTCTTTCGAATACCTCGCATGAAATGGCTACAGCTTCTTTACTCAAATCATGTTGGGTTAAAAATGAGGGGACCCAAAGGGTGCATCCCATCAGTGCTTCCTGTTTTTCTTTTGGGGTATTTTAGTGATATTGCTTGCTCTTTCATTCATTTCTTAAACATTTCCTGCAATATTACTTTTATCAATTTATCCAGCCATCCAGTCAAAACACTCTGTTGTGTCTTATTAAGTGCAGGTTCTGGGCTTGTTGACAGCAGATGTGAACATGGATTAGCCACAGCCACTGCCCTCCAGAAACTCATGTCCAGTAATCGTTGGAAACTCTGCTTCCCCCTGAAAATTTGGGGAAACTATTGACCCTCTCCAATCACCAAAATGCCTGCAACTCATGAATACATAACATTACATATAAGTTCAAGGGAATTCATAGACCTCATGCCAATCCCCCTGCATCCCATGGAAGTCCACTTATCCCCACTCAGTGGAATGATGGTAGGACCTATGTTTCGTGGCAGGACCCATCTGAGGGAGGACCCATGCTTGAGTGAAATATCATTTTGGGTGTCTCATAAAGGGACAATGTTCCCTCTGATAAAATAAGCAAAGGAGAGGATCCTGGCACCTCTGAGAAATGGGTATACAGATCTTCCTCAACATACGACAGGTCACATCCTGATAAACCCAACACACATTGAAAACATTGTAAGTCAAAAATACACTTGTATTCCTAACCTACTGAACATCCTAGCTTAGCAGGTCTACCTTAGACATGCTCCGAACATTTACATTAGCCTACAAAGTGGGGCAAAATCATCTAACGCAAAGCCTATGTTCTAATAACATGACCAATACCTCATGCAATTTCTTGAATACTATGCTGATGGCGGCAGACAGAATGGCTGCGCGGGGACAGAGTGGTTGTATAGGTATCAGTTGCAAGGTACTATGCCCAGCACCACAAGCTGTGTCAGATAACATCCTGCTAGCCCAGGAGAAGATCAAAATTCAGAATTCCAAGCACGGTTTCTACTGAATGCATGCCTCCTTTTGCACCGTTGAAGAATTGTAACTTGAAGCATCATAACTTGGAGATCGTGTGCATGTTAAAACCCAGTATTCCGACTGGAAGCCAAGGGCATTGGTTCTGAAAACACCACTAGCTTGCTCTGTGATTTTGTACATGTTCCTTCCTTCCTCTCACTGGACCTCAGTTTTATCATGTTTCCAAATAAGCACTTATTCCAAGAGCTCTGAGAACCCTTCTAGTCCTGACATTCTAGGTCACCCAGGCCGGCCTCTTCTCCATTTCCAAGATGTGGCCTCTTCTTCAGGAAGCCTGATTATGCCTCACTCGCCTCAACACCCCGATGTTGCCCAGGAGATCCCGGATCCCAGCAAGTGCTCCCCACTCACACCTGCTCCTCTCTCAGCTGGCCCTTCTTAAGGATGATCTGCGGCTTTGGTGACAGACACCAACGTGGATCCCAGCCCAGAGAGTGTGGCCTCAGGCAAGTTCTTTAACCTCTCTGAGGCTCGATTTCCTCCACTGGAAATAACATGGGAATAATAATACTTATCTCTTAGGCTTACTGGGCCCTAATCCTATCCGGTGAACTAGTCACGTCACTTCCAAATGCTACTTTCTTAGAATCTTTTTTCCTCCTCCCTCCCTTATCCCTGCCCTCTCTCTTCTTTTCTGTGAGACTTGTCATATTTATCCCCACTCTACTTTCTCCTCGGCTGCACAGCCAGGCAGTTTCCATAAACTGCACCGGTGGAGGGAAATCAGAGGAGCAGATAAACCCCATCCAGCCCTTGAAAGTGTTGGAGACCCAGGGGAGGGCCTGGAGGCAGCCTCTGGGTTTCCCACACAGGAAGCAGGGCCAAGCAGAGCCAAAGGGCCCTCGATACCTTTCAATTGCGCAGGGTGACGGCATTGGAAGGAGCACGTGCTACCAAAGGTGGTGCCTTTAAGGCAGGAGAAGGACGCGGCGTAGACGTGATGCTGGTCCGGGACGCCACAGTCCACTGGCTCACACGCCACCTGCTTGTTCCACTTGCCCTCGGTGCAGGTCACCATGACGCTGGGTCCCGTCTGAAAGGCAGAGGTGGGCACGGTAAGGGCATGCAGACAGAATCCCGCAGGTCGGAAGACCCTCTTTTCCCCCAGCGACAGCTCAGAGTCTCATCCTGGCTCCAGGAGGTCGCTGCTTCAGCTCACTTTTGACGACCCCCACAACTGTTTGGATTTGGTGTCTCAGTTCCCATTCTCCAGATGCAGACACTGAGGCTCAGAGACATTGATTGGCTCCAAGTTACACAGCCGTAAAGAGGATACATGGGACTCGAACTAAAGGCTGCACTCTTAACTGCTCCCTGGAAAGTCTCCCGGATTAGTATTCCCATTGTGTTGATGAGAATCTTAAGACTCAGACCTCTTGGAGCCTGACGACTTCTTTCCTGAAATAGCCTGTGAAATATGGCACAACAGTGGGTCGCTGGCTCTTGGTCTTTGTATCTTTTCTTGGCTCTGCAGGAGGTAATAGGGAGCCTCTTGTTCTGTGTGGTACAGAGTAGGCATAGCCCTGGGATACCGGAGGCCCGGATGTGATTCCTTTGTGCTGAGTCTATGGGCAGGTCCCTCTCCTGACCTGAGCTTGCCCGCTCGCACTGAACCCAAGGATTGCTCTAAGAGCCACTCCCTGCTCTGAGATCTGATGGTTCAGTAGTTGAGAGAGATAGACATAAACAAGGAACAAGGCTGGGACAAGCGAAAAGAGTCGGCAGGGATTTGAACCAAACCAGAAGATGGCAGGGATGCGCGGGTGGAAGGGTGAGGCCAAGCTCCAGAGCCAAGGGAGGGACTGCCATCAGCAGCCCGCAGGCTGCCATTCAAGGAGGGAGCCGCCAGATCCCAGGGGACTGAGGATGCCAAATGTTGATCTGGGATCTTAAAAGCAAAGGACATTTTTCCCCTCCTAAGCACACATCAAAGGGAGCAGAGGTCCTTTGCTGCCAAAACAGCCTAATTGTTTCCACAGGAGTTCAGACCTGCCGTGTCTGACACGAGGAAGTAGGTGTCTAAGACAAGTGATCGAGGGCTCCGGGGCTCCCACGTGGGACTCTGTTCAAGCCCAGAAGCTCTACACAAAGGTCTCTCATAGACAAGTAGTGTATGCTATGTGCCTTCAGCATGAAGGTGACGCCCGCTGGCAGGGTCCTGGGAAAGGCTGCATCTAGTGACAGAGGCCCTGGCACCCTCAGATCTCATGGCTTCACGGCCCCCTCACCCCACTCCCCACAGCCACCTGAGATCCCACGGCGGCACGTGGCTGAAGCAACATCCTGCCGCATCTCAGATCCACCCACGGCCATTCCCCTTGGGCAGCACACCTCCCTCTTCCACGAGCTCCTCTCATGACTCCTGAGGGCTCTCCCTGTGACCAGTGTCAACGCCAGACTCCAAGCCACCACCGAGTGGGCAGCCAGACGACCTTTATCAACCATGATCTGACCACATCACCTTCTTCAACAGCTCCCTGCTGCCCCGATAAAGATAAACCTCAAACTTCCTGACCAACCTAACAGGGCCTCACACTGGTGGATCTTGCTTGCCCGCCCCCCAGCCTCATTGCTTGGACGAGTTCTGGAAAGAAAGAATCGGTCTGCGGCATGCTGTTTCTCACCAACAGACTTCCATCCGCCATTTCTGCCTGTGCACAGAGCACCGATTTCTCCCTCCCCAGCCACACACCCTGGTGCCTATCTACCCGGTGGTTTTCAAGCCACTTCTTCCAGGGTGAGGCCCTCTGGGCTTCTACCACACCCTGCACTTGCCTTTACCCGTGTTTCTCACACTGTGAAGTCATTCCTCACTCCTTGTCTGCTCCCGGCAACAGTCACTAGGCTCCTGAAGAGAAGGAACTAGGTTTATCTTAGTGACATTTTTTTTTCCTCTCTCTAGCACCTAGTACAGCATCTGGTTCCTGGCGAACAGATGTGTTACAATCTGTTTTACAATTACCATGAATGAGCGAACACCTCATTGTCGGAGGGCTCACCTCTTTCCAAAGCAGCCCCCTCAACTGAAGCAGAGCTCTGCCTGGGAGGATGTCATTCCAAAATGCTCAGCCTCTGGTTCCACAGGTTTGTAACCCTCACAAAGACTCCGATACAGGTTGTGTGGAACGCTACCTTGCACGGGAACCATTGTCTTAGAAATTCCGGACCGGTGGGTTGACTCATTCAATCCACACATATTTACAAAGTATCTCCTGTGTGGCAGCACTGTCTGAAGTGCTGGGGATTCAGCAGGGGACACGCTCACCGCCCGGTCGGCCTCTCCCAGGCTGGAGAGGGGACCCTGAGCCCAGCACCTGTGCACACCTGGCTCTTGATGAGCTCGTCATCCCGCTGGATCTGGAGCACGTAGCCTGTCCGGCAGCTCACGGTACACCGGGCGCCATGGTAGCGGTCGCTGCTGGAGCAGTTGAGAGAGGCGTTCTCCACCGCCAGCTCTGGGCAGTCAGCGGCCTCACATGCGAAGTGCACACAGCTGGGGAGGAAAGGAACAGGAGGGTCAGAGGGAGTTTCCCTGCAGGATGACTGCATGCCAGCTGGAGGTAAAAAGCTCAAGGCGTCCCCCTCCAAACTTTTGGGAGCTGAGACAGAGGAGAGGGAGAGGTGCCGGCTTTGGTGAGGAAGACTCTGGAGGCAGGGGCCACAGTGTATCACAGGGCATGGTTTATGGAAACAGAGAAGCCAGGGTTCAAACGTGGCAGAGAGCTGTCTGTGTTATTCATCTTCAAACCTCACAGAACCTCGGTTTTTCCATCTGTGAAATAGGCATAATGATCACAGCAAGTACACACTGAGTCTCTCATGTGCCAGGCACCAAAGACGCACAGCAGACTCTTCGTATTCTGTAACAATACTCACTTTCGAGGGCGGTGGTGAGAAATCAGATAGGTCAGGAAAGGCACAGAGCAGAATTCCCGGCATGTAAAGACACTCCCTAACTGGCAGCTAATGGTATAAACAAGTCTGTGCTCTATAGCCTAGAAGCTGTGTGACTTTGGGCAAGGTACATCACCTCTCTGAGCTTCAGAGCACTCTCAGATTTGGCCAACCCATAGGGTCATGAGACCCAACTGAGGTGCTGATTGTAGAAGTCTTTTATAAACTGTAAGGTGACTTCTGGATTGTCAGTAAAGCTGTTCAATGATTATGCCTTGCTTCTTGGTGTGGCTGCTCTTCTAATCTTGCTGTCGATTTGAATTCTACCCACATGTAAATTTGTATAGGAAAATTTCCCCTGTAGTCCCTGTGTTCCCAGGGGAGATCCCTGGCAGGCCTTCTGCCCTCCTTTCTCTGACTGGCCTCACGCTTCATGCATTGAAAGCATGGGGTCCGGGTACCCACCATGTGCTGGAATGTGTGCTAATCCTTAAGGAAATGGAAATATAAAATCCCTGTACTGCATGGTCTTTCCCCTTATGTTTACTGTTACACAGACACTCAGTAACTTTAGCGACTATTCACTGATTGCTTATGTACATGAGCTCACTCCATGCTCACAACACCCCTATGAGCTAAGTGTTATTCATTTTATAGCTGGAAAAATCGGGGACCAGTGAGATCAAGTTACTTCTGTAACTTCCCACCCAGATGTGTGGCTCCAAAGTCCTTGTTGTCAACCTTGCCCCTCACCTGGACTAGAACTTTGCTGAGGGTAGAGATAATGCCTGTTTCATCTTGGGGTACTCTGCACTGTGATAAAGATGCTTTGCATATGGTAGGTGCTTCTTAGTAGCAAGAAACAAGTGGCGGGGGGTGGGGGTGGGTCTCGCAATTGCTGTTAAGCACTTTGAGGAGGCTGAGACGTTCACCGGGAACACAGAAAGCTTGTAGGGGGCAGTTTTCTCTAATGTTTGCCTCTCTGACTATGTCCACACCAATGACGGCCACAGGGTGTGCACAGAGAGCTAGGTCTAGATGTGCACTCAGAGCCTCAAGGCTTTCACTTTCCTGTGTTTATCTAGGAGACAGGGAGTAAGTGGTGGCCAAACCAGCTTAAGAAGAAATTCACAATTTTTTTTCTCTTGGTCCCCATTTCAGGAGGGGACCACTGAGGGTTTTACAGGAAGATAGCTACCCATCTCCATGCTCTATGTCCTGCTCAGAAGTATGGGGAGAATCAAGGGGTGGGGTAAGGGTGGGGGTATGAGCTAACAGCCTCCAAACATCACAAATTCACTTTTTAAAATACTCGGAAAAGGGAAGCGTTTGAGGCTTTAGACCCACACCCACGCGGGCTTTGCAATCCCCACATAACCCCCTTCCCAAAGGCAACGCGTGAGAGGGATTAAGTGACACTTGCTGAGATATTCGATTCTCCGCCCTCCTTTCTACCCCCCCACCCCACCCCCGACAGTCTTCCCTGCATTGTGCCATGTGGAGGCCTCTAAGAGACTATAACTCTGGAGTCAACGCAAGGGCTCTGACACCAAACAATGCATCTGTTCACGGTGTGTAAGCGCCGGGGGCAAGAGCCACATGGTTCCAATTTAAATAGATTTACTCTGTAAGCTACCAGCTCCTGAGCTAGTCTTCTGACCTATGCCTTACAGTGCGGCCATGCTCGCTCTGTGCTCCCAGGATGACGGCCAGGGGGCTCCGGGCTGCTCCGGGCTATGGGGCCACAAAGGTAAAAGCAGCCTGTACCTGCCCCCCACCCCCATGTCTCTGCACATTAATGTTCCTTGTAAGAAAAGGGATAAACTGAAACAATGGATTTCCTACAATGGAAAAGGCACAGGACTTAGGAACTGGGCAAATCCGGCCTCTACATCCAGGAATGCCCCTTATCGTTAACCTTGGAAAGTTACATAGTACACTGAGCCTCAGTGTTCTCCTCCGTAAAATGGAAGTAAGAAGCCAATTTCTCTCTCAAGAGTATCAACAGGGTGACAGGTCAGCCACTCATTCATCTATTCCACAGACCTTGGGTGGGGGCCTCGATGCACACCAGACACTGTTGTAAACCCTGTGGATACATGAAAATTCCTGCCACCTGTGTCTTTGAGGAAGAAGGACATGCACCCCAGAAAAGTCATAAAGAAGCCTATTTCAGGCACAGAAAGGGCACTAACGAGGAAATTATAGAGGACGACTGTTGGGGGTTGGGGGAAAGGCACCATGTGCAGATGGGTCAGGGGGAGGAAGCCTCCATGAAGAGGGGACATAAGAACTGACCTGGATGAAATGAAGGGATAAGCCAAGCAGAGGTGTGGAGCAGAGGGAATCCCAGGCAGAGTAAAGAACACACGCAAAGGTCCGGGACAGGATGGAGCTCAGTGTGTTTGTATAATAGAAAGGCCCATGCACAAGAAATGCTTTGGAAACTATGATATTGGCAAGAGGAGATGGTTTCTCTGGCTCTCTCTGCTGTAGAAGGAAAATATCCCCTGGTACATGAGTTATCTGACCAAAAGGTTTCATGGCCAAATGAATAGGGTAGCATTGGATTCATGAGAAGTCAGTTTTCTTTTCTTTTCTTTTTTTTTTTTTTAATTGCAGGACTTCTCAGAACCTTGATGTGGATTTCCAGGAGGGGCTAAGACACACATCATTTTCCAAATTCTGATAACCTTTTCCAGTGTGTCATTTCTGGATTAGTGTCCTCCAGAGAACACTGTGAGGACTGAGGCATCCCTGCTTTTTCAGCACATCTGTGCATGCCTGGCTCACAGGCTTCAAAACAGGGAGAAAGGGGGAAGGGAAGGGAATCCGTGCCAGGTATGAGCCCCTGTGTTTTACCTACATCACCTGATGTGCATCCTCACCATAACTTCTTGAGGTAGTACAATTACTCCCATTTTCAAGAAGAGGAAAGTGAGACTCAGTGAGTTTAGCTGGCTGGCCAAAGGCGCTCTGTATGGACAGAATGTCAGTGCTGTTGTGCCGGCCTGTCCCCTAAGCCCCTGCTCTTCTCTGCATTCCCATCAGCTGGAAGGGTTGTATGAACACGTTGTCCAAAAATGATAAACATTACCCCAAATACCCCTCCCAAATAACTCCCTGACACGGCCCTGTCATTTCTAAAACACAAAAACAAAAATCAAAACAAGGAGAAAAGAAAAACCTCTGTCTTCATTTTAAAAAGGGGGCGGGTGAGGCTCCTGGGTGGCTCAGTCTGTTCAGTGCCCAACTCTTGATCTCGGCTCAAGTCATGATCTCATGGTTCATGGGTTCAAGCCCCTCATTGGGCTCTGCACTGATGGTGCAGAGCCTGCTTGGGGTTCTGTCTCTCCTCTCTGCCCCTCCTCCACCTGTGCTCTCTCTGTCTCAAAAAATAAATAAATACATTAAAAAAAAAGTCTTTAA